TGTAAATTTTGGTCAATGACATGAGACAAAGTATATGTGAACTGCTGTATGAAAAGTGAATTTACTCTATAAATCTTCACCCAAATCAAAATAAAATTTTTTTTAAAAAAAGGACTTAGAAAAAGCACCTGATCGTAGTTACCACTCAATTAGCATTAGCCATTATCATCTCTCTAACAACAGCAAAATCTATAAAATGGGGAGTACTCTCTAGGTATGAACCTTAAAACCTTCATTAACATAGTAGCCCAACATTTCATATTATTTTGAATTAAAATAAAAACAATTAACTTTATGCAGATATTTAAAATTTTACAATATGCAGAATTTAAAATTTTACAATACTTTCCCCAAGGAAATAAATATTAATCACAAATTTAAGAGAAATTTAGGTACTGTTGTTACTAACTATCCAAGTCCTTGATGCCTAGTATCTGAAATTCAGTTAAAGAGAACATATCCTATTATGTCATTCAATTTAACTGATTTTGAATTTAATCACATATATAATAAATATACTTTTGAAATAAAAATAGGAGGGAGGAATATGGCAGAATACGCAGACAGACTCCTCAGACCCTCTTCAACAAAGGAGGACCAATTAACACAGATACAGAAGATAATCCTGAAGCCCTGAGCTTTGAAGGGAAGGATATAGAAATGGACTAAACTTCAACTAGTAGAATAATTTGCATGAAAACACCAAAAAAGGAGACATAGAGAGCTGCAGTCTGGCAGCGATCCTGACAGAACAGAAAGCTTGGATATTGCCGAGAGGTGTTAGGACCTAAGAATTAACCTAAAAATCAGCCCTGCTAGCCAAGGACTGCACAGAGGACTGCACTGGTGGCTGATGAATAAAAGGGAAAGTAGCAAAGAGGGAGACAGGCTGATCTGTGGACTTCTGCCTGTCTGTAGGGTGCAGTTATTATGAAAGTTTACAAGCGGTTCAACTATTTTGCATATTGAAAGAAAGAGCATTCTCTCAGATTCCAAGGACCTAATGAGAATGGGCTCCACTTGCAGGGGACCACAAGGACATTCCAGACATGAGCAACTGGAAAGGTGAGATATTCCCCTTGTTATTCTTATACTCCAAAACTTCTTGATGAACGGAGGTGTAGCCATCCCTCACTCCCACCCACTTTCTGGGCCAGCAGGAATTCCATCTCAGTCTGTGTACTCTTGCAGAGCCTGGGTGCCCTGCCCTGCCCAAATTTTTTTTTTTTCTTTTTCTTTTTTAGTTTGCTTGGCTTTGTTTGTTTTAAAATTACTTTTTTTCCACCCTCTTCATTATATTTCTTTCTTCTTCCCTTCCCAGGTTCTAGTTTTCATGTTTGTTTCCCTTCCCTTATGCTGGTTCACATTTTTTTTTTCTTTCTTGTGGTTAACATCATTCCTTGTTTTTCTTTTTACATTTTTCCCATTTTTTTTCCTTCATTATTCTCTTACTGTAACTCTTTTCTCTTATTGCCCCCTCTCCAGCTCTGGTAGTGTAGTGCCTAAGGCACTTGACTGCTAACCAGAAGGCTAGAGATTCAAACCCACCAGCCACTCCTCAGAAGGAAGATGGG